ATACGCACGCACACCCACACACACACACACACACACACACACAGCTGCTGCAACCTCTTCTCCCAGGCTGCTTCCCACACACACACACACACACACACACACAGCAGTTGTTCCTCAGCTTCCGCACTGCCCCCCGCGCCCCCCCGCCCTCCCCATCACCAGCACCATCCCCAGCCGCTCCTGCCGCCTCAGCGAGCGGGGACGACGTGCAGCACGCAATCGTGCGGCGGCGGGTGGGCGGGTTAAGTGCAGGGTCGTGTGTGGCCGACAAGGGGGGCCTTGGGAATATGGGGAATATGGGGAATATAAACCTGGGAATCCCTACCTATGCTCCAGAAGGTGTTGTGGGTGCAGGTTTGGGTGCTAATTTTGCGTACAGTTGTGGGAAGCTGGGACCCTTCCCCTCTCTGTTGGAGTTGCTGCACAGGGTCTCCGGGGTGCTCGACTGCCCGCTGCTTTTCGCTGAGAGCAGGGGGATTGGGACTGGCGCAAGAATTTTCAATACTGATACCCCAGGCCCCGCAGGTCACTCTGACGGCGGGCTTGGTGGTACTGTGGGGGCCCATATTAATTTAGACATCAATGCGCACTTCTGGGAGAGAGCGCGCCTAATTGTGAAACAGCCCGAGCAGTGGGCGCCGAGCCACTCGAGTGGATTGAGCGAGCGCAGTGTGGTTACGGGGCACGCGTGGCCTCTTGCTGCGCACCCACCCCTGCTCATGCGCTTGGTGAGAATACACTTTCCCTATCACCTTTCTCTCTGTCTATCTGTCTGTCTGTCTATCTGTCTGTCTGTATATATATTTATTTCTCTCTATCTTTCCTCCCCATGCCACTCTCCCCTTATCTCCGCGGCCTTGCTTATTATCGGGCTAACAGTCTTTCCCCTAACACATTTCTTCTATTCCCTATTGGCACACTATCTCCCACCCCCCCACACACAAACATAACTACCACCAACAATAAACTGTAACAATTTCGGATACTACACAACAGTATCAATGCCTTGTGCAGGCGCTGGCTTTGAAGAAATATCTGTCGCAGCAATTGGTGCCTTTGGCGGCGTTGTGCGATAAATTAGCCGCACAAAGTGCCGCCTCGCCAGTGCACGGGCTGCGGAGGGGGTTTGGGGAAGGCAGTCGGGTTCACGGGACAGGGGACGGGACAGGGGATGGGACAGGGGACGGGACAGGGGACGGGACTGGGGCTGGGGATGGGACTAGGACCGGGACTGGTGATTGGGTAGGGGTGGGGGTGGGATTGTCTTTGATGCGCCCAGTGGGCAGCTTCTTAGAGGCATCAGACTTGTGCCTCACTGCGTGGCTGCTGCCGCCCCTACCCGTGTCGGCTTGGCTACTACCCCCACTGCCCATGCCCACACCCACATCCTCTACTGTCTTGCCCCCCTCTGCTCTCGCCGCATCACACCCCTCCCCTGCCCACCCAGCCCCACACCTCAGTCCCCAGTTCCCTGGTTTGCAGGTCGAGGAGCTGGCCCTAGCCGAGCACCTTTTGGGGACCATTTTCAAACTTACAGGCGGGCACAGTGTGAAATTGTCAGGACCTGGGAACGGCTACGATGGCGAGCATGTGGTGTTCAATTGTGCGCCCATCGAGGAGGTTTACGCCTTGCTGGCGTCATGGAGGGAGATACAGGTGCTGCACGAGGTGAATATCGCGCGTAGAGTGGCGCAAAGAAGTCAGGAATTACGGGCGAGGGAGGTGCGGGAGAGGAGGGGGAAGGAGACGCGGGAGCGGGAGGTACAAGGCCAGGCAGGTGATACGAGTGCAAATGAGAATGCAAAGAGTGGGGCGGGTATGAGGGAG